ATAGTATGTTTGAATCCTGAGTTTCTAAAGGGCTTCATTTGTAGCACTGGGCTGGTATTATACCTTTAATTTCTTTCATTATCTACCAGCGTTCCCTGCGTTCCTGGGTAGTTAATGCCCATTTCAGTTTCCCCTCAGTCACGATACTGCGTTTCCATTCTGCTCCACCATGCAATCTTCTCTGTGGATGTGAACAGGCAAAGCAGGTCAGCCCGAGATGTTGGTGACTGAACATGTAGCACGTGCTTTTTCCTGTGACACAAAGGAAACCAGCGGTTTCTTGTGCCATACGGAGCCTTCCAGTCAGAGAGAAATGGATGTCCTGCGTTGGAAGGGTTGGATGTCCTGTGTTGGAAGGGTTGGATGCCCTGCGTTGGAAGGGTTGGATGTCCTGCGTTGGAAGGGTTGGATGCCCTGCGTTGGAAGGGTACCCAGCTTTGGGAAGCTGCTGATGCTGTTCCCTGTCACCCTGTGCTCCCTTTGTCCATCAAATGCTTCTGCGTTTCCCGCCAAGTTGCTTTACCTCATCTCTAACCACGAATCTCCCCAGTCTTCCCAGTTCGTTCTCCAATTCAAAAGCTTTTCTTACCAAATCCTCTCTGTCCCTCCTGTGGTCCTGCCTCTCTCTCCCACTGTTTTTAGCAGACTCGTCGCTTCTTTGGAAATTTGCTCAACTTTGTGTGTGTGGTGATGCCCACCCTCCCCTTTGTCTCTGTCGTACTTCCCTGGGCTGCTTTGTCCCCTTGCTCAGCCCCAAAGCTCTCCCAGTTTTGGCGAGTCCTGCTCTTTGTGCTTTGTGCTGCTCTTTGGTCCTCTCCAGCTGGGATCCACGCGTGCCATGAGCTGGAAATCCAAGCTGTAACCCTCTCTCCTGCCAGCTGAAACTCTCGGTGTCCTGCGGCAGCGACCTTGTGGTTGCTGTGGCCGTGTATTAACGTTTGTACATCAATCACTGTGGCACTTTGTTCCAAATTGCAGTGTCGAATAGGCAGGCAAATGCTGTTAATTATGCCAGCGTACAGAAATGCACTGACAGAAACAAAGCTGATCATGCCATACTGGCCCTACAAATTTGCTGTTACAGGTCTCAAAACAAGGCTTCTTAGGTCTTCAGCATCGTAGAGAGTCATTCTTGGAGCGGAAACCTCTCTGTGTTTATTGGTGAAGCTGGAAAACATGCAGATAAATAGGGGGAGGTTGACTTGATCCTTAAAATGTGACTTTAAATTTTCTGTTTTCCCCAGGTTTGAGGATATTGGGTACCGGGTTTACTGTCTGCATTCGTTATTTTCCTGCTATTGGACTTTAATACCAGGTCCTGATGTTGAACCCTCACTGGGTGTCCACTGCGTATCTGAAGTTTTATGATAACTTCATCGTGCCATACTTTCAGGTATCTTGTAAATAAGTGCAGAATAAACAGCAAAAATAACTAAAACTTAATAATTTTGAAACAGCAATTAAAAAACCCCCTCTTTTTTGCATCTTACATTGAGGCACGCTCGTCCTTTGTATACAGGATTTCTGCAGATAAACACGTTCTGGGTTCTCTTTATTCCACTGGCAAGCAGAGGCTGTGCACCCAGCCCGCTCTGTCACGCAGAATATTTTGTGACTACAATGGGATCTTAATTACAGAGATGTCAGCGCGGCACCTGGGGCTCTCTTGTGGAGTGGGCTGGGCTGGGCTGCGTGAGGTTTGGGGAGGTCCAGGGGGTGCGTGCGGCCCCGCCGCCCCCTTTTCCTGCCTCGCTGGGGGCTGAGGACAAAACGGAGCAAATCCAGGGATTTATCTGTATTCATGGTTCATGGCTTGGCGCTCGGCGGCAGGGGGATGCGGGAAGAGGCACGTCTCTGGTGGCAAATTCCAGTGTGCTGTGTCCCTGCCAAGGTGCTACACGGATAACGAGCTGTTAGGAGTCAATAGGAATAATTAGCGTTGTTTTTTTCGTGAGGAGCTTGCAAAATACCCACAGCACGACAGACGGCGTCGGATGGGGGTGCGACCAGCAGCGTCCTTGTGCTGTGGTGCAGGGCGATCACCAGTGCCTTACACTGCGGTTTGGACATTGCAGAGGGTTTTGGCTGCAACTTAAGAGATGCTGTAAGGGCATTGCCCAAATTCCTCTGAAACCCTGACAGGCTCAGGGCATCTCTCAGGAAGCCTGCGCCAGGTTTTGGCCACATAGAGAAATGCTTCCCAAATGCTGCCCAGGTTTTTGGGTCCCTCTACCCCTCTCGCAGGTTCCTCTGCTCAACCTGAAGCCAAACCCATCTCTGTACTCGGTGCCATGAGGTCCTCATGTTGTGACTCAGGCTCCCGTCACCCCCAAACCATCAGCTCTTCCCATTGTGGGTGAGAGCTCTCTGCTGTCAGCTCACCCCAAGTGGAGTCTCTGGAGCACACGTAATGGTTCCACGCAGGTTCAGGGTCTCTGTTTGGGGGATGATCACATACTCTGGAGCGATGCGTTGTCATCTTTAGAAATACGGTGTGTAGTGCATGAGAAGCAACGTGCTGCTGCTGGGATTTTCTTCCTCAAACGCTGAGATTTGCTTTTTCTTTAAAAAGACTTGGTAATTCCTGAAGAAAATAGGGAATCTGGAGAAACCAGTCAGTGCCTGTTCGTCTGCCGTCACCTGAACCTCAAACCAGCAGATCCCTGTCTTTGATTTATTAACAGTGACATCTTTGCCGGTAGGTTGAGGGCCTGGTGAATATTCATATCTGGGTTTGTTTCTTGGCTGCTTTCTGGATCAGCTGTAGCCATGGATACGTGGAGATGACACTTTGGGGTTTGTTTTCTCTGCGGCAGCGCTTCTTAACTCAATATTGCAAACATTGTAATGAAGAATTGTCAAAAACCGTCCTCCTGGAGCGACTGCAGATCGTGAGCGCTTGCACGGGGTTTAATTGCCAGGAAAATGCTGTGCTCTGGAGGTGCTCGCTGCGGCTGGGTGTGCTCTTTGGGTGTTTCTTAGGGACAGAACTTCAGTTAATGGATTTGCTTGCACGTGAGAATAATTGGATCCGTTGCTCCAAATTATTCTGCACAGTGTGTGTTACATTCTGGGTTTCAGGGACAAAGTTCAGACACACATTGCTCCAGGCGTTACCCGTGGCCTCACCAGTACCTCATGGCTTCTTGGCCCAAGACCCATCAAGTCCTGCTAAAAGCAAGGGTGTTTGTTTTACCCACGGAGATGGGATGTGCTGAGGAGGTGCCACACCACCTGGGTAGCATGGGGGGCCCGCAGGGTGACGGGGAGGCACTGGTTTCCCCGGGTGGTTTTTGAGGGGGTCTCCTGGAGCATCCCGGGGAGGAGATGGTGCTGCTGCCCCCCAGCATCGCAGTGGGGTGGGCTGGGAGTGCGGGGGATCTGTGGTGGGAGCTGGCCCAGGCTTTGTTTTCCATTTCATTGGCAAAGTTTTCCGAGCTCTCCTGCAGAAAATGTCCTGCAAAAGCGACAATAACAATATTTTGGATATAAGCCTAGCACAAAAGGGTAATAGGAACTCCACGGGCATGCGTGGGCCTTTGATTCATCCGCAGAGATGGCAGATGTGCGTTTATTTAAGATCTGGGTGTGGGACTCGCAATATTTATAGTGGGTTCTTCGCTCCCACTCTTCCTGTGTGAGTTTGGTCCCTGCTGTCAGTCACACATGGGTTGAGGGCTCTGCACTGACCGCCCCGTGCATTGCTCATGCTGCACATCCCCACCTGGGCCAGGCATTTCTGTGTCCAGGCCCGAGGCTTTCTGGGTGGAAATGCTGAGGGGTCCTGTGCATGGTTGGGGTCTCATGGCAGAAATGTGAAGGGCTGCTTCCAGGGCACACTGGGCTTGGAATAGAAAAAAAAGAATAGAAAAAATAGAACAGAAAAACAGAATAGAATAGAAAAAGAATAGAAAAAAAAGAATAGAAAAATAGAAGAGGAAAAACAGAAGACAAAAAATAGAATAGAAAAAATAGAAGAGAAAAATGGAATAGAAAAAATAGAATGGGAAAATATCTTGGAAAAACATAATATGATATGAGATGATATATGATATATGATATATGATATATGATATATGATATATGATATATGATATATGATATATGATATATGATATATGATATATGATATATGATATATGACACGATATGATATGATGTGATATATAATTATATGATTATATATATACATATATCATATCCTCAAACAGAACAGTATTTCCAGGTGGGAGGGATGTACAAGATGACCCAGTCCAACTGCCCAGCCGTGTCAGGGCTGGCCAGGAGCTGGAGTGGGTGCTTGTGCAGCCACCAGTGCTGATTTGCAGCGTGTGTGTGCGCAGTGTGTGTGTAATGTGTGTGCAGTGTGTGTGTAATATGCGTGCAGTGTGTGTGCACCACGGGCTTGGTTCATGGCCCTGCAGCCTGCTGAGCTGCGAGGACATTAAGGACCTGAGGTATGGAGAGGTAATTTGTGACATGGGAGCCATGCTGTGTCCCATACATTGCCTTTTGTGGCAGTACTTAGATATATTTGTCTGTGAGGCACTCCAACTGTATAGCAATGGGGATTATCTCATTACTGGTATAATTAGACCTCTCTTTTTAATTTATTTAAGACAGATCTTAGATAAGACCACAGCAATGGTTTAGTGCAGAGAACTTTGCGGTGTTTGCTGACCATTACAGCTGCTCTGTCCTTGTCATCGCTCCTCACCGTGGCTGGGGACAGACAACAGCTCCTGTACCTGCTCAGGTCCAGCTGTGTTTTAACTCTGCTAAACCCCCTCTTTGTAACCTAACCAGGCTGTGTGCTGGCTGCTTCGAGCTGACAGAGAGAGAATATTGAGAGAAAACCAGCTCCTGGCCTGCATCTTCCCTGGGAGCCTTGATAAAACCTTGGCCAATGCTCTCTCGTTGTCTCTTGTCTTCTCTGTAAATGTGAGATCTTTGCCGTAAAGCGTTTACAAATGTAAATTCCTTTTTTCTTTGCCTTGCAGTGAACTTTGACCACTTCCAGATTCTCCGGGCGATTGGGAAGGGAAGCTTTGGCAAGGTAGGCTTGAACACTCTGTATTCAGCTTGCTTGTGTGTTGTAATCGGTGCCTGCTGGTATGTGCTTGAGGTTTATTGGAACACTAGCGGTGCTGAAATGGGCTGTTTTTATTGTTATATCATGGCTGCTAAGTAACCGCAGGAAAAATGTGTTTGGAAAAATACCGTGTTGCCATTTGGCATTGCTTTGATTCTTGGCACCTTGGTGAAACAGGTGTATTTTAAACTGCCAGTGCAGTCGTGACCATTTCATGGCAAATACTGGTTATGTTTTCTGTTTCCTGAGTGGGGTCATGGGCTGTGGGGGACGCAGTAATTCAGGAAGGTGATGGAGGTGGTTTTGGTGCTGGGCTGAGCTGGACACTGTGGTCAAGAGGGGTCTCGGGAGCTGTTTTCCCCTTCAGAAGTGAGCTGTGCCGAAGGGTTTTTGTTGTTTATTTTTAACAAGGTTTCTGTGCCAAGCGCGTGGGAGAGGGTGGGAGGTGATGATCAAGAAGCTGGATAGCTCTGGAAATCAGCTGCTGGTTGATTTCCTAGTTTCAGTCCTTTCTCATTCCCTTTTTCACCGAGTCTCGCTCAGTCCCTGTGTGCATTGCTGTTTGCTGCTTCTGTCGTGGCGTTTCACACCATTTGTTTGCACTGTGAGCACAAAGCTGGTGTCCGTGTGTGTGCATTGGCACTGCTCTGTAGTCATTGTCCTCTGCATCTCACTGTGCCCCGTGGTTGTCGTGCCCTCTGTTTGGCTGAGGTGTCTGCACCCGATGGACAGGAGCTGAGGAGCAATAGCCTTGGTGATGGTTCATTAAAATTGCTGAATTTTGTTGTCGTAATCCTCTCACATGAGGGTTGGGTGTTGTGGTGCTTTGTGCCAGGACTGGCTGTTAGGGCAGGGCAGGGGAAGGGGCCTTTGAAATGGTGCAAAATGTGCAATGTTGAACTGGGGAAATAGCACAACTGGTTTGGAGGAATCCCAGAATGTGAGGAGTTGGAAGGGACCGTAAAGCTCCCCCAGTGCAACCCCTGCCAGAGCAGGATCACCAGAGCAGTCACACAGGAACACAGCCAGGGCTTTGGGTGTCTCCACACAAGGAGACTCCACAACCTCTCTGGGCAGCCTGGGCCATGCTCCAGAACCCTCACACTCACAAACTTTGTCCTCATCTTCAGCTTGAACCTCCTGTGCTCCAGCTTGGGACCATTGCCCCTTGTCCTGGCATTGGCCATCCCAGAGCAGAGCCTGGCTCCTTCCTCCTGACACTGCCCTTTCCCAATGGATCCCCAGGAATGAGGGCACCCCTCAGTCTCCTCTGCTCCAAGCTGAAGAGCCCCAGCTCCCTCAGCCGCTCCTCAGCAGGAGATGCTCCCCTCCCTCCAGCATCTCTGTGGCTCTGCTGGACTCTTTCCAGCAAAAAAGAATGGTGCAAGCTCCTCCGTGTCTTTTGTGCTGCTGAAATTAAGACAAGCTGAGCAACTGATTAAAGCTGTGTCCTCTCATTCCTGTCTGAGCTGGCCTTCTTGGCCTGTTTCTGCTTTTCCTCTGTGCTGGCGACAGCCCTGTGTGGCAGTGTCAGACCAGGCCATGGGCACAGGAGCAGCCTGCAGTAAATGCTCATAAACCTTGTTTGGATGCTTAGACACTTTGCAAGAGCAGAAATTTCTCAGGAGATCTGAGACCTATTTGGCCAGAAGAGCCCAAATTTGTACCCGTTACTGAAAATCTCTTTCTAAACACTTAGAGGGTATTAAGTAGCGTCAGTCTTGAGAAACAACACAAAATTCAACTGTGGTCTCGATGAGGCAGAGTCCAGGCGAATGGGCAGGGTTAGTGGCAGCACTGTCATTAGCACAGCTTGCTAACGAGTGTGTTTGGTCAGGGCCTGAGGAACACCGAGGTCCCGTTGTGCTGTGCTCAGGGCACAGGCTGCCCATGCTGATTCCCGCCGTGCTTCGTCGTGAGCCCGCGTGGAACCAGACCTCATGAAAATGTGACACGGCCAAGCCACAGCCAGGGCGTTTTTAAACCACGTCTCTTGGGCAGTGAGGAGTGAGAGCTGGCAGCAGAGCCATGCCGGGTTTCTGAGGCTATATGAGATGGTGGAGGATGATTAATAACCAGCTCAGGCCTTTCCTGAGAGCAAAGTAAACAGCAAAGCCTCCCCAGATGCCCCTGGTGAGAACAGGAACTCAGGGTCTTGTGGCTCCTGCTCAAAGACCAAAAACCTATCTCAAAACCTTACTGAAAAGAGCAGCTCGCATATTTTCAAGCTCATATCAGAAGATTCATGCTTTCACATGTAAACTTTCCAGAGAAAATAGGGTTTTTTCTGTTGAAAAAAAACCCGTTTCTGTTGTTTTTCTATTTTCAGCTGCACTTGGTGCTGGAAAATTAATTCTGCTCGGAACATGAAAAGGAGGAAAAAATATTTGTGTCCCAGGGCAGGACCTTTTTGGCTTTGCAAAGAGCTGCTCCTCATTGCTGCTTCCTCTTCTGTTTGTGTTAGAGAAAGGTTAAGTCTAGCACATAGCAGTCTATCAGGCATCAGAGTTGTATGTACACTTTCCACAAAATGCTGAAATGATTCATCTGTCATCTTCTGGATAATTATGTCAATATGCTAAATTCCCTTTGATATTCAGAAAAGCTTTTTGCATTTACAAAGTCATTTACAACTCGCGTTTAATTACGGAAAATGTAGACCTACCTGCCTGAAAACTCTTTACTGGGAATTCGTGAGTAATTTGATGGCTTTGGCTGGTTTTAGCACTGTCTGCCCACATTCAGGAAGGTATTTAGGACCCACTCACATTTGTGCACCTCTCGGGACAGACTGTGTAGTTTTTGGTGCAGGAACCATACAAAGTGAAGGAAATAGGAGCTCAGACATTGCTTTTGAAGAGGCTGGAGAGCCCTGAGCTGTCATTCTGCCATAACTGCAAAACCCGGCCAATTTCTGTTTCCTAGAGATGGGTTTAATCATCCTTAATGTCCTATTAATCAAATGAAGGTCATGCTCCATTCCACATTTACTCAAGTTAGCAAATGGGTAATATTTTCCATACATATAAGAGGTAGTATCACTTGATTTTCAGTATTTTAATAGAAGAGTTGTTTCTCCTGTAGCACAGAGTCTTTTCTCCAGAAGAAACCAGAGGGTTTCCTGAATGTGATGCAGTTTGGGACCCTCTGTTTTAATGGGAAATGCACTGCCAGTTTCATTACGCTTCACTAGAGCCATGATGAGACCTGGACATCTCGGGAGGCATTGGTTGCATTGCGTTGACGTCTCCCTTCTCAAAAATTGCCCTCTCCTGGCTTATGTCTTTGTCCATTTGAACAGGGAGGCAGGGAGGGAGAGTTCACCCCCGTATTCCTCCTGCCTGGGCTTCCCTCTTGATTCTCCCTTGAATCACCCCACCTTTTCCAAGGGATAAAGTAGAGTTTTGGGGAATTCATGGTTTTCACCTTACTGCTGTGAAGAAACAAATAATACCTCTGAAGCTCTTCAGCACGGGTTTATGGCTTTGCTGTTGGAAGTAGGGGATGAAACCAGGGGATGGGGGCTGGAAGGAGCAGCAACGTGAAATGAAATTTTCCAGAGAGAACAAATACGTCTTGGGGTGGGTGGGTCCATGCAGGCAGCCCACAGGGGCCTGGGATGGGGGGCATTGCTTTCATTTTTCTTCTTTTTCTGTATTTTGAGTAATTTGTGACGGTTTATTGGGACCTATGGAGGTTTGGGGGAACCCATCTGGTAGTAAAGAGGTTTTTGTAGCTGGAGGCTGCATGGTGAGGGCCTGGAGAACAGGAACCACAGGTACCCCTGGCCTAGCGTGCATGGCTGTGGGTGGGGGTCGGGCAGGAACCCCCACGAGGGATAAGCTGACAGGCGGCCACGAGGGATGGCAGTCCTCAGCATGGCGGGTGGACATGAAGCACGGCAGGCGGACATGGAGCGTGGCGGCCATGGAGCATGGCGGGGCGGACATGGAACGTGGTGGACATGGGCAGAGGTGGCCGCCTCCTTGGGCCCTCCCTGCTCAGGAGGGTGCCCCAAGGCCTGGCTCTGTGAGGGTGTCTTTTCTCGGCAGAAAGCTGGCTTGCCACCGGGTTTGCTTTGCAGAAGCACTGTAACTTTGTGATTTGTGCTCGAATAACTCACGCAGCCTGAAGCTGGGTATGGAAAAGCTTTAATCCATTTTCTAAAGGTCATAAATGCCCACCCAGTAGATACACTGTAAATAAAATTCCCTTAAAGTGTATTCTCAGCTGAATCCCTCTTTGATATCAGCACAAGCTTGATCCTTTATCTTTTTTCCAGCTTTATAAATGTTGGATTTTTCCCCAAAACGAACAGCTAGAAACACAATCCTTTGATATTAAAATACCAGGGACACGTTTTTTGTGCTTGTTTTTCCCTTTGCCGTACCAGAGCCCTGCTGCGTGGAGCACACTCAGAGTGATCCTCCCTCTGATACAACCTCCTGGGTAGTATTTTGTGGTTTTTTTGTTCTTTCTTGGATGTCCCTAAGCTGTGAGTGTGTCATTGGTAAAAGCCACAGGAGAGAGGATGACAAAGAATGACAAACTGAAGCGTCGACGTGGTCCAGCCCTACCTTATGTCCAGATCTCGGGTTGTGGGGACAGCAGCACTGCAATTACAGAGCAGAAAACACTGCCAAATGATCCCGAGTGGGACGTGAGCGGTGACTTCAGCTGGAAGGAGGCCTGGGACATGATGCTGCTCACCCCCGGGGACCTGTTGAGAGTTCCTGAAGGATCAGACTTCACAAGACGGTGATTTATAGTAAAAGCTGCCCACATTTATTATTATTATATGCCCCTGTTAACATTTGCATTAGAAACTGCCTGGGGTTTGTTTCAGCCCCCGTCATTCGCTGCGGATGAGTCACATCAGCGTGGGACGGATGCTCCCGCCAGCAGCTGGGAGGAAACACCCCCCCTTCCACCCCAAAACCTGCTGATGGCCTTGGCCACCCCTG